GATTAAAAATTACATTGATACAAAAGATACAAATTATTCAAGAACAAATTTAGAAATGAAATGGGGAACTACATAAATAAAGCCCTTAGGCCTTGTACAAGCATAGTTCCCAAAGCATTCATAGCATAATGGAAAGCAAAGATAAACAAAAACAAAGATTTAAAAAATAAATAAAAAAGAAACAAACAAAAAAAAAAAATTAACACAAATATAAACATAAGATAACTATACATACTTGAGATAAAGAAACTGCTTCAACTTTCTTTAAAGGAATTAATTGACTGATTTCAAGTGATCAAAGAGGTTTAATAAAGGAAAGATCCGCAGCAGAAAACATACGATTAGTACAAGATGTAATCGACTATTTAAATACATCCAATAGTTCGGGAATTATATTCTTTTCGGATTTTAAAAAAGCATTAGACGATGTATCCCATTTTGTCCTATTTCATGTACTACGTATATTCAATTTTATAGAATCTTTTATCACCTGGATAAAGGCCTTTTATACTGACGCCATCAGTCGTGTGATGAATAATGGATGGATTTGAAAAAAGTTGCTTATTGAAAGGGGAGTTTGCCAGGGTTGCCCATTATCGGCATTACTTTTTAACCAAAATAAGACAAAATAAAAAGATTAAAGGGATCGATATATTCAGTGTTGATTTAGGTATTGATAGTTTAAAAATTTCCCAACATGCAGATGACACAACATTATTTGTGGAATTGCGCAACTCGAAAGAAAAAAGTCACAAAATTTCATTGCAAGATTTTCCTGCGTTAAAAAATTATCGCGAAAAATGTTGAGGGGGGGGCTACTAAAGCCCCCCCCCCCCCCGGGCTAGATAGGGTTAAACTGGAATGTAAAAATATATAACATTCAAAATGTATTAAATATGTGGAAAATGAGAGATCTTACTTTTTATGGCAGAATAATTGTTTTGAAAATGTTAGCGGCGTCACAAATTGTATATACTGCAACTGTTGTACCAGTACCAAAACATGTCTTACAGATATTGAATAGACTATTATTTTGTTTCTTATGGAACTCCAAAAAAAATTACACATAATGTAATCATAAGTGATATTGAAATATGATTGATATTGCTAGTAAAATATCTTCACTTCGTTTGGCATGGATATCTCAGTTTTTTAATGATAATGGCTCTTATTGGAAAAATATGTTTAGATACTGGTCCGATAAAACAGGGGGTTTGCCACTTTGTTACATTTCAATTGTAACATAAATGATATGAAAGTATTATACTCTAAACATAATTTGCCAGAATTCTATGTAAATCTTTTTTGTACTGGGTCAGAACTAAAATTCATTGATATGGTTAAAGTAAAAAATATTCCAAATGAAATTATTTGGAAAAATAGTAACACTACCTTTAAGATCTAGATTGGCAAGATGCCGGTTTATTGAAAATTTGTAATTTGATTACAAATGGTATTTGGAATGACTCTACATTACTAAATACAAAAGTGAAAGCAGTACAGCTCTTATTTGATTTTAAATATACAAAATTAAAGAAAGCATTTCCGCAGTGTTGGTTGGATAGATTAAGCTATGATTATGAACAAGAATGTGATATTTCGAATATTATAGAAATAGAAACGGGATAAAGTGAATGCTTTTGTTATGAAAGTGAAAGATTACTATCGTTTGTTAATACGTAAAAATTCAAGAGAACGAAATCTCATTTACTTTTGGAATTCCTTTTTTAGATGTGGATAATGAATTTGTTTGGAAAGATGTATTTTTATTTAAATTGAAGCCAATTCGTAATAATAAAGTTAAACGATTTAATTTCAAGATGATTCATAGGTTTATTGCCTCAAAAGAAAACTTATATAAATGGCAAATTGTTAATAACTTATGCAACTCTTGTGGACAAGTTGACTCAACTTTTCATTTTATGTTATATTGCAAGGATGTGACTTTGTTTTGGAAAATAATATGTAATTTGATATTTAAACTATTCCAAAAAAAATACAAATAGACCAAAAGATAATAGTTGTAGGTAAGGATATTGGAAACAAGAAATATTCACTTTTGAATATTATTTTAAGTTATGCACAATATGCAATTCATAAATGTTACATTAAGAAGATTGTTAATGGTTCTGTTTACTACCCACATACTTTTTTTGGGTTAAATTCAAGTTGTTGCTAAGATTAAATTAATCAATTGGGCAAAAAGAATTTCTGTTTTGGTTTAATAAAATTTGGAGTGGACTTATTAGGCTATTATTATTATTATTATTATTATTATTATTATATGAATGTGTTAGCAAAGAAAATAATACTAAGCTGAAAGAATTGTTGAATACACTTTAATGTTTAGCCTATGATATGTTTCACTCAGTCATTGAGTTATTAATGTAAATATGTATTGCTATCATGGAAATAAAAACCTCACTTGAGGATAAGAGAAAAAAAAATTATATCGGTAATATAGATAAGAAATATAAGAGGGCCCAGCACAGAACCCTGGGGAACACCACAATAACTCTGTTGTATAGAAGGGTTGACACCATTGACCATCACATACTGTTTTCTTTCAGACAAGTAGTTTTCAAACCAATTTAATGCTAGGCCTCTAATACCATAAAATTAAAGCTTTCTTAACAATATGTGGTGGTCAATGGTGTCAAAAGCTTTTGATAAGTCCATCAAAAGTCCAACGCAAAAATAATCCTTTTCAATTTCATTTTGTATATGATTACCCAATCTTGAAACAGCCAAAGCAGTTGACATTTTTTTCCCAAAACCAAATTGTTCATCAATCAAAATATTGTTTAATTGTAAGAAACTATATAGACAGACGTTCATGATTTTTTTTTCGAGAATCTTTGAAAACAAAGAAAGAAGAGAAATGGGCCTATAATAGGTCAAGTCATTTGAGTTACCTTTTTTACAGACTGGTACGATCTTAGCTAATTTCAAACCATCAAGGATAGTTCCTGTACAAATTGATGTATTAAATATGTAGCATAATGGTTCAACAAAATTAAAAATAGAGCTCTTAATCACTTTAGGGTCTATACCTTCTGGTCCATTTGATTTAGAAGCGTTTAAAGAAGAAACTGTATTTAATATTTCATAAACTGAAGTAGGTTTAAAAAATACTGAGTTTGGAGATTTATTTTCAAGTAAGAATGATTCATATGAGACATTAACAGGTGGAATATTTTGTGTGATATTCCTACCAGTGTTAAAAAAATATGAATTAAATTTTTCTGCAATATCTTTAGATGAGTGTAGTTTAACATTATCGTAATACATAACGGCAGATAACTTTCTACATCTTTTATTACCATAGCATTTATGTTATTTCAAATTCTTTTTGTGTCACCCTTTATTTTATTAAAAACAAGAGAATAATATTCAGATTTTGCAATACGTAATAAACTTGTTAACTTATTCTTAAATTTAATGTACTTTTCCTTATATTTATCAATATGGTTTTTCAGAAATATACAATGCTTTATCTGGATAGAGTTCTTGTTAACCAAAGTTTTTTTAAACTATATTTGATTTTTTACTTTTGTTTTATTTTGGGAAAACATTCATCATATATTAAATGAAAAATTGACATAAAAATGTCTTAACAATTATTGGTGTCATTTGATGCATAAACACAACTCCAATCAACTTCACTTATTTTTCTTTTAAATCTGAGAAAGTTTTCATCATTAATTCGTCTTTGTTGGATTCGTGACTGACTTTCAACGATGAGCTTTTAAAAAAAAAATTATACAAAATATAGGAAAGTGATCAGAAACATTAACTATAAACAAACCGGAATCAATTTCATTTTCAAAAGAATTGCAAAATATATCATCAATCAAATTTTAATATCTATTTCTAAATACAAAGCGTTTTAGAGTTGAGTGTTCTAACACTATGTTTCACGATGGTAATGCGAATTTCAAATTTAATGATCCAATCCTGTTGAAATATTCCCAAAACTTTGTATTATCTTTAATGTATTACAGGTATTCATGACTCTGGATTTCATGTGCACAAGAATCATAGGTCAGAAGGTTTGTTGCTAAGGTGCAGGGTGGAAAATTCAAACTTTTATTATAATTTGCTCTTTAAAAACTATATGGCATATTTTTCATATCAATCAAAATTAGACAATGTTGATTAGTGATCAAAACAATGTCAATCTTATACAAAATGAATTTCAACTTAATCATTATATGATACATGTGTAGTTTGGTATAATTCCATGTCTCATGACTGTTCCAATATACCAAGTGAATGGCGTTTAAAAAAAGGTGTTTGGAAAAAATAAATATATACCCGTGCACCATATAACCAGGGAGAGTGTAGGAGAATGGAGAGCCCATCCAAGAGGCCCCTTTGAAGACTTGCATAGCTCCAGGAGTCTTTTCCCCCTACCGTAATCCCCCTCTGAGACTGCAGAGCTCGCGGAAAATGTCAATAATTATATGAGAAAATCATGATGATAAGAAACTTGCATTCACTCAAACTCACCATTTCCTTGGTCGATTTTCGCTGGTTCACATGACCATGTCTTCAGTAGAGTTAGCCGAGCATAGCAAAAGCATTTTATAACCAATAGAAGGTTGCCTTGTGCCATATGTAGTGGATTCTGTATTTTATATGTTACAGTTATATACATCTTCACTGAGTATGCGTCATTTTTCGCAGTGACACAAATGGCTTCCAAGCCTTTTTTTTCCCGCAGAGTGTTTAGAGAGCTTAGAGAAGCAGATGGTGTTGCATGACAATTGGATTGCCAGAGGGGATTTGGGGTCTGACAAGGGAGGCTGTTGATGGATCTGATTGCTGGAAAGAGTTACATTTCTTGTTGTTAAGCCAAGTTAATCTTGAATATCTTTCCCTCAAGAAATTCTTTCAAGACGGTTTCTCCATTCTCTTACACTCTCCCTGATATAACTATTACTGCTGTTTCTGTCAAACAATGACCTTCCATGATATTTACATTAGGACACACATACCTGTATGGATGATGCCTTTGCTTTCAATGTAGAGTAGAACTCCTCCTTGAGATTACTTCCAAGTGTCAGATCAGTCAGGTTTGGCATAGAACACAGTGCTTCGAGTAGGTCGTGTGACGAGGCTGGTGTGGTACACTCAACAAATGCCAGCACTAGATTCTGGACCTGCATTGTTTGTGAATATAGTTAAGCAACACGTCTATACATGAATACGTTTTGTTTACATATTTCTGACTTTACCCTTATAGTCCGTGGGCCAGAGGGGGCTACCGTGCACCCCCCTATGATCCTACTTCTTGGGTGTCATTTTGTTCATTGGGATCCATAATATCAGAAAAAAGATGTTCCCAAGAAAAAAACTCATTTGGACACTGTTTTTTTGCTCCTTATTTGAAGATATGTAAAAATGTCAGTTTTTCGTGTTTTGCACACTTTCTTAGGGTTTGTGAATTATGTGCTTACATTTTACCCTGTTTCTCAGCAGATATAACTCTAATCTCCACCAAATTTATAAAAGATTTTCGTAAACAATACAACAATAGGTAGACACAATTATTTTGTTTTATTTTATTGTCTTCAATTGTTAATTACGTCATGAATTTGCATATATTTTGATATGCAAATTTCTGCCTCAAAACCTGTCAAAATCACCTGAAAATTGTATTTTGTCTGCTATTATCATGAAATAAGTTTTCAAACCCCCTAATTTGGTGTAAAATTATTCATTGATATGTTATCTGATGTTTCCTGCAAAAAAATTCAGTCAACTGTTGTTGACATTGTTTTTTACCATTATTTGTTATGTAAACATATCAGTTTTCCGTGTATTGTACATTTTCTTAGGGTTTGTGAATTATGTGCTTACATTTTACCCTGTTTCTCAGCAGATATAAGTCAAACCTCTACCAAATTAATAAACCATCTTTGTAAACTATACAATAATAGGTAGACGAAATTATTCTATTTTATTTTATTGTCTTCAATTGTTAATGACGTCATAAATTTGCATATATTTTGATATGCAAATTTCTGCCTCAAAACCTGTCAAAATCACCTGAAAGTTGTATTTTGTCTGCTATTATCATGAAATAAGTTTTCAAACCCCCAAATTTGGTGTAAAATTATTCATTGATATGTTATCTGATGTTTCCTGCAAAAAAAATTCAGTCAACTCTTGTTGACATTGTTTTTTCCCATTATTTGTTATGTAAACATATCAGTTTTCCGTGTATTGTACATTTTTTTAGGGTTTGTGAATTATGTGCTTACATTTTACCGTTTCTCAGCAGATATATGTCTAACCTCCATCAAATTAATAAACAATCTTTGTAAATCATACAACAACAGGAAGACAAAATTATTTTAATTTATTTTATTGTCTTCAATTATTAATGACGTCATAAATTTGCATATATTTTGATATGCAAATTTCTGTCTCAAAACCTGTCAAAATCACCTAAAAGTTGTATTTTGTTTGCTATTATCATAAAATAAGTTCTCAAACCCCCTAATTTGGTGTAATATTATTCATTGATATTTTATCTGATGTTTCCCGCTAATTTTGTTCAGTATCAGTCAACTTGTATCCCCACCCCCCCCCCCCCCCCCCCTCTCCCCGCATATTACGATTAATACATTCTGTATATATAATGTACATTCAATTAAAGTTCCTGTTTAAAAAAACAAAACCTCAACAAGCAGTATTTCAATTACTATTGGGGCTAGCCTGTTAACATCAAACTAAATCAAATACAGTAATTTACCGCATACTTCATTGTTTCCTGTTATAGTATCAGCCTGAAGAGGGGGGATCAGACAAAGCAAACTTATTCATCAGTTGGTCATTAATCCCATTATATGCTATAATATAGTTTTGTTGTTTATACAAATGAATGAACAAACGGGGTACAATTTCACGAATTTCAACTGACTTGACACAATGAGCAATGGAAGAAGCATGCATCCTCATTCTTGAAGACATTTCAGATTTTTACGGTTATCATCGGGAGTGCTACCAACTTTTTACCAAGAATCTCAATCGACTGTCAGAGATCTTATCTGATGCCACAGAACCTTCAACATCCCGTCCACCCAGACCATCAATTGATGAAGTCATCCTCAATCCTGATTGTATCTCTTGTAAAAAGGAAGGCCCAAAATCAATCAAAGTGAAAAGCTCTTGGACAACAGAAAGTACACCAATGTTAGATTCTGGTGGGTGGCAAAATGTTGTAGATGTTGCAAAGAGAGGGGGTGATGAAGACCTACTTTTTGAGAATCCTGGAAGTTGATCTGTTTGCTGCAGAAGCAAGAAATCACAAGAACTGTCGGTAGAAATATGTGGCGAACTAAAGGCCAGATTAATGGAGAAGTGGCAAATACGATGAAGTAGCTAAACAGAGAACAACAGAAATAGCCCACAGTTGAACAGATTCCCACTAAGCTAGAGAAGTTTCTGAACCATTTGTTGAGTGGAAATCCATCTCGACCGTCACAAAGAGTGACTAAACTTGTCATATCTCTAGGACAAGATATATCTAGGACAGCCACAAATGGAAAGTGGAAAATGTCCAAGCATATACTGGTATGGATGACTCTGAGACATCTCTTACGCAGTGCTCAATTGATCACATTCCTGAATCGGCTTGTTCATTCAGAAAGCTATTCATTTTCACTTGAGCTTTAATCTGCCATAGCACAAGCGCTACAGTAGACTTTCGGTATTCTATCTAGACAGGTAGTCCGCCATTACGTGGAGCCATCAGTCTTCCATTCAGACGATGACGATTTCAACCAATACATTTCAAGCTTAGGTGGTTCTGGCTCTGTCCACACAGCCCATGGGATTATGTTGCTGGAGATTTCTAACAATGAGACAGTTGAATCTTCAAATAGCACAGTACCCTCAGTAGCACGTACATGAACCAAAGAAAGTTCCTTGGCTAATGAAAATGAAGGTCCTCTTCCATCTTGCTATGTCAACAGATATAAAGCATTCAAAGAATGTGCCAGAAATGATATTGCGTGGATGCTTGTCCGAAAAAGTAGTGGAGAGACAGGTCAAGAGCTTCCAGATTGGGGCTGGATTTGTTTCAGTAACATGGGAGGTGCCCTCACATGTGACGACCATAGATTACTATCCTGTAAGAAAATATCCCATAACAGAATTCGATACAATCCAAGAGTGCCTAAGAGCTGCAGAAGAAGCAAGCCACAAGGTTGGCCATGTCATAACAACATTTGACTTGGGCGTGTGCCTGTAGGCATATCCTCTCATTTGGAGTCATCCATAAACTTACAAGAAACACATTGTGTTGATTGGCACTTTCCATTTGATTTGTGCATACCCCCAAAATGCTGGGAAAGAAAATGGAATGATCCGGACTTGAAGATATCCTCTTGGAAGCTGGTCTCATGTCTTCTGGGTCTATGAAAGACGTCATAACAGGAAAGAACTGCGACAGGAGTCTGCATTGTCACAAGACAATGGTGGAGTGCTTAGAAAGGCTCCTTTTTTTATGAGTTCCTGTCAATGACTGGATAAGATGATGCACTTGTTGGTATAGCTGAGGAATCAAAGAATATCTTCCAAGAGCTAATTCGATCACCAACAAAGGAGAGGCTTGCTGAGGTTGTGGCTAATGCAGATCTGAAGGCGTTGATAGAGTAATATGAGAGCTTCAAAGCTGATGTTCGAAGAGGATCTTTTTGGAAGACAGCACAAATTTTGATGTCGTATGTTGATTGCGTTTGGATTGATCTTTCATTGATCAGGTCTGTGAAAGAAAATAACAGTACTGTCCATTGTACTTGCACTGCCTGTTCCTTATGCCTGACCTGGTCTCAATTACTCCCAATATGTGACCTACCTTGATGTATTCTTGGTAAACATTGAAGATTCACATCATGGTGCCATGACATTGCTCGAAAGAGTTGCAATAAGTGTTGCCAGGTCGCTCATTCCAGGGAACCGTGCTGTCGACAAGACAATTGAGGAGATAATCTTGAAGCTTGGCAAATCTCGCAGTGGGGTTGGTAGTGGTGTCGGTCTCTCTGGCATAATTAAGAACTACAGTGTATATCAGAGGTGGGCTTAAATATATGCAGATATGACGTTTGATGCTCACCGTGGAAATAAGCACACAGATCAACAACCAACTCAGATAAGGAAAAGTGAGGGATGTGTATTAAAAAAAGGGCCATAGATGATGTAAAAAGCTTCCTCAATCAAGTTGATGTTGATGACAAGAATGGATTGTATGTTTTCTCTTCCGGTGCCCGCGTTCCAGCTGAGGTTGAGAAAGATGTCATGAATGCAATTACCACAGGGAAAGACCAGAAAGAGATGTTCATCAAAGAGCGATTAGAGAAAAAGCCAACTTGATCTACGGGAATTCTTTGATCCCTGTTCTCTACTCAATTAACGTTGGAACAACTTCTTTGCTAAGACAGATACATTTAAGGGCCTACACTATCTCCAGAAGGATGTAGAGAACTCACAACCTCCAACCACTGGCAATTAGTTGGTAGTGGAAAATGGTTTTCTACTACCTAAAAGAGATGCCTGCATACTTCCACGATATTTGCATCAAAATTCACAATCGAGTGTTGTCCAAATGCGATGTCATTTTCAGCACAGACATGTACAAGCCAGACTCTGGGAAGTCAAGTGAACGGACACAGCGTGGGTGTGCAGAGAAGATGATGATTAAAGGAGGCAAGACCAAAAGACCATCTGACTGGAAGCAGTTCCTAACGAATGATGAGAATAAGAAACAACTTATTCAAGTTCTTCTGGATGTCTGGAGTAAGCACAACATGGCTAAGAGCCGGGCTGAGAGGCTATATGGGAAAAGATGATATTCATCACAGAAGGAGAAGCCTAACTGCTCACTTCTCGGAATGGGAGAGAGACACTGTATTCTGAGATTCCATCTCTCAACTCAACCCAAGAAGAAACAGATTCACGCGTGATCCTTTACTGCCAATACGGGAAAGGAGCAAGGTTGTGATCATGTGCAGATCAAAAGCCCAAACAGCGATATATTTTTATATTGCTTCATTATGCTCATCTCACTCCAGACATTACATTACTCTTCCATACAGGGAGAGGCAACAAGCAGCGGCTCAAAGATGTCACTAATTTTGCCCAGCACTCCTTGGACTTACATGCTTTCTCAGGCTGTGACTCCAAAAGCGCATATTTAAAGGAACCGGCAAAGTCAATCTAATCAAACTGTTGCAGCAACGCAACAAATTTGTCAAACCTCTGGCAGGACTTTGTGATTCGTGGACTGTACCAAAGAGTTGATATCCAACCTGAATTAAATGTACATTATATGTACAGAATGTACTAATTGTAATAAGCGGGGGGGGGGGTGCATACGAGCTGACTGATACAGATTTTTTTGCAGGAAAAATCGGATAACATATCAATGAATAATATTACACCAAATTAGGGGGCTAGAAAACTTATTTCATGATAATAGCAGACAAAAATACAACGTTTAAGTGATTTTGACAGGTTTTGAGACAGAAATTTGCATATTAAATATATGCAAATTCATGACGTCATTAATAATTGAAGACAATAACATGAATTAAAATAGTTTTGTCTACCTATTGTTGCATTATTTACAAAGATTGTTTATTAATTTGATGGAGGTTTGACTTATATCTGCTGAGAAACAGGGTAAAATGTAAGCACATAATTCACAAACCCTAAGAAAATGTACAATACACGGAAAACTGATATGTTTACATAACAAATAATGGGAAAAAACAATGTCAACAAGAGTTGACTGAATTTTTTTTTGCAGGAAACATCAGATAACATATCAATGAATAATTTTACATCAAATTAAGGGGGTTTGAAAACTTATTTCATGATAATAGCAGACAAAATACAACTTTTAGGTGATTTTGACAGGTTTTGAGACAGAAATTTGCATATCAAAATATATGCAAATTTATGACGTCATTAACAATTGAAGACAACAAAATGAATTAAAATAATTTTGTCTACCTATTGTTGCATTATTTACAAAGATCGTTTATTAATTTGATGGAGGTTTGACTTATATCTGCTGAGAAACATGGTAAAATGTAAGCACATAATTCACAAACCCTAAGAAAATGTACAATACATGGAAAACTGATATGTTTACATAACAAATAATGGGAAAAAACAATGTCAACAAGAGTTGACTGAATTTTTTTTGCAGGAAGCATCAGATAACATATCAATGAATAATTTTACACCAAATTAGGGGGTTTGAAAACTTATTTCATGATAATAGCAGACAAAATACAACTTTTAGGTGATTTTGACAGGTTTTGAGGCAGAAATTTGCATATCAAAATATATGCAAATTTATGACGTCATTAACAATTGAAGACAATAAAATAAAATAAAATAATTTTGGTTACCTATTGTTGTATTGTTTAAGAAGATCTTTTATAAATTTGGTGGAGATTAGAGTTATATCTGCTGAGAAACAGGGTAAAATGTAAGCACATCATTCACAAACCCTAAGAAAGTGTGCAAAACACGAAAAACTGACATTTTTACATATCTTCAAATAAGGAGCAAAAAAACAGTGTCCAAATGAGTTTTTTTCTTGGGAACATCTTTTTTCTGATGTTATGGATCCCAATGAACAAAATGACACCCAAGAAGTAGGATCATAGGGGGGGGTGCACGGTAGCCCCCTCTGGCCCACGGACTATTACGTTTCATACATATTCCATTAATTACATAGTTGTTTTCATAATAATATTCTCAACAAAAATTATTGAATAGATTTTATTTTCAACTCAATTCTTGTCTGTTGAGCAATAGAACACTCTCAAATTTCCATGGAGAGGATGATTTAGTAAGAGCAATTTTTATAAAAGTTCTAGTTGTATTCTTTATAGGGCTTTGAACCTGTATCCATTCTAAGGTTCTACTCCTACTAAGAATGAAATCAATAAATGCCCATAAATATACATTTGGTATTAATTGGTATTCATAAATCTGGGTTTCATGTGCACAATAATCATAAGTCAGGAGGTTTGTTGCTAAGGTGCAGTGCGGAAAATTCAAGCCTTTATTAAAATTGGCTCTATGAAAACTATATGACATATTTTTCATATCAATCAAACTTGGAAACTTGGAAAATGTTAGATATTGATTATTGATCAAAAAATGTCAATCTTATACACACTAGAATTTCAACTGAATCAGTACATGTGTAGTTTGCTTTTATTCCATGCTTCATAACTGTTCCAATATTATTAGTGAATTGCCTTTAAAAAAATGGTGTTTGGAAGAAGAAAAACATATACACCTGTGGACCATGTAACTAATACTGCTCTTTCTGTTGATCAATGACCCTCCATGACATTTACATGAGGACACACATACCTGTATCGATGATGCCTTTGCTTTCAATGTAAAGTAGAACTCCTCATTAGGAACTATTCCGAGTGTCAGGTCAGTCAGGTTTGGCATAGAACATAGTGCTTCGGCTAAGTGATGTGATGAGGCTCGTGTCAGACACTGGTCAACATAGAGGTTGAGAATCTTGACCTGCATTGTTTGTGAATATAGTTAAAGGTATTACAAAGTTTTGGTATGGGGTCATGAAATTGGTTCAAATTAACATACTGGAAGCATATGCGTTCCTACAATATTCATTGATCGTTGTCCCGGTTGAAATCGAGTCTAAAGTTATGAAATTATAAATAATAAACCCTTTATGTTGTATAGCTCCCTCTCAAGGTCAAGATACCAATTAAGCTACGAAACAATGTTTCTTGACTAAAATCGACCGATTAGCTATTCCCGTTTGGAAATTATATATCACAACTAAATATTCTGAGATTTTCATGGTCGCAGCTACCATTGTACGGCCGTAGGCGCTATTTGAAATTTATACAAATTTACCAGGAGCACCGGTAAATTTTTATATTCAATTTTTCTCGAAAACAGAAGTGTTTTAGGGGTTCAATTTTTTTAGTGCTTATAATACATCCACAGGGGCATCCAAATATATCAAAATTGTAAAGATTCACTATCCACCCAATTTTCAAAATTTCCCAAAATTTTGTGTTACCTTTAAGCAGCCCGTCTGTAAATGCATATCTTTTATTTACTTATTTCTTACTGTATTCTTATATTTCACACAGTTTCCATCAATAACATAGTTCTATTGATAATAACATTATCAAGAAAAATGATTGAACATATTTTATTTTTCAAATTCAATTTTTGTGTATTGAGAAAAAGAACATACTAACATTCCATGGAGAAGATGATTTAGTTATAAATTCTATATGTATTCTTTAGAGGGCTTCCAACCTGTTTGCACTGATAATTCCTACTCCTACTAACACTGAAATTGATAATACCCATAAATATACATTTGATATTAATGTATTAAAGATAAAGGTGAGTTCTGGTAAAAAAAAAAAAAAAAATGAATTCTCACAGAATCAAACGAAACTTACACTGAATGTTCAAGAATACAAATAAATGTCATATGCCAAACAATTTTGGTAGAAAATGTATACTAGTAATGAGCATAGAAAGATTAGGAAATCAAGGTTGGTAGCCCCGACACCATTTGTGTGGTCCCATATACATCTTTCTGTGTACAGTGCTTGTTACTTTACCAAGACTGGGCCAAATTTATTATGATTTTGATGTCTCCAGAACTTTGCAGTACACACCAATACTTACATGCTACATGATCAACTTTTTTCTGATCCATTCTACAAGTTTTCTTTCAAAATGCAATCGGAAGACCAGAACTCGCCTTTATCTTTAATTGGTATTCATATCTCTGGATTTCATGTGCACAAGACCCCCAAAGTCAGGAGGTTTGTTGCAATGGTTTGTTCCAATATACCAAGTGAATGGCCTTTAAAAAAGGGTTTTTCGAAAGAAAAAAGAACATATATATATATATATACCTGTACACCATATAACTATTACTGCTGTTTCTTTATATCAATGACCCTCCATGACATTTAAATCAGGGCATACCTGATTGGATGATGCCTTTGCTTTCAATGTAGAGTAGAACTCCTCATTGAGATTCCCTTCAAGTGTCAGGTCAGTCAGGTTTGGCATAGAACACAGTGCTTGGGCTAGGTGATGTGACGAGGCTCGTGTCGGACACTGGTCAACAGACAGCTTGAGAATCTTGACCTGCATTGTTTGTAAATACAGTTAAGCAGCTCGTCTATAAATGCATATCTTGTATTTACTAATTTCTTACTGTATTCTTATTTTTCACATAGATTCCATTAATAATATAGTTCTCTTCATTATAATATTCTTAAGAAAAATGATTGAATAGATATTTTTAAAAAATTAATTAAATTCTTGTCTATAGAGAAAAAGAACATACTCAAATCTCTATGGAGAGGATTATTAAATATGAGTGATTCTTTTAAAATTCTTTATTCATTTTTGATTGGGCCCTCAAACTTTTTGCATTAATAAGTTCTACTCCTACTTACACTGAAATTAATAATACCCATAAATATACATTTTCTATTAGTGTATCAAAGGTATTTATGACTATGGATTTCATGTGCACAAGACCCAAAAGTCAGGAGGTTTGTTGTTATGGTACAGTATGGTAATTTCAAGCCTTTATCAAAATTAGCTCTTGAAAAACTATATGACATATTTTTCCAATCAAACTTGTAAAAGGTTGGATTATTGATCAAAGCAATATCAATCTTATACACACTTGAGTTTCAACCGAATCAGTACATGTGTACTTTGCTAAATCATGACTGTTCCAATAAATGAGTGCTAACAGGGATAAAATATGTTCTAATAAATCTTACATTTTTCCAGTTTCATTTATGCCATGAAATAATGAATCATAATTGTATCAGGCAGTTCCAACCACATGTCAAAAATAATGTTCTCTCCGAACCTAAAAAATTGTCCTCTTCGAACATTTTTTTGACGCCACATATCTCAAGAACCATTTATATTTTTATTCTGGAAGTTGGTATGCAAAAGCACCCTTACCACATGTAGCTGTGCAGTACAGAATATAGAATTAAACTGCTCTGTGTTTTTTTTTAGTAACTTCATGATGTTAGTCCATCATTTTGTGGTATGAAAGGATGCAAAATTGAATTTTACATGAATAAAATCATTTTGCGCTTGAAACATTGAGTTGTATTCTGATTCCATATTATCAAGTTATCAAACTATGTCATTCACATTCACCCAAAGAAACAATATTATCTTTCTGCATAATGTCATCAGGTGAAACGTGACCCTATTTTTTCATTAAGGACATGTTTCTTGCTTGAAATAAAAAAGTTTGACACTTGTACCCATAAAATTGTACAGACTTTACAAGTCACTTATATACAACAAACAAGAATTCAGAAGAATCAAAGGAACTTTTTTGTTCACCCCAAGTGAGACAAATTGTGTACCTGATTGTAAAAACAACCCTTATGCTTAGTCTATCGTCTTCTCTACTTGTCTTTCCTTATGTTATTCTTTGTTTTTCCTTCTACCACCCTCCCTTGTGTTATCCTTTGGTTTTTATCATTCTATCATGTTCTCTTTCTAATTTCCGTATGTTTTCATTTGTTTCTTCCATCTATCACCTTCTCTAGTGTTATTTTTTTGTTTTTATCATTCTATTATTTCTCTATCTTTCATTATGTTATCCTTTTTTCTTCCTTCTATCACCTTCTCTTTTGTTATTCTTTGTTTTTTATCATTCCATCACTTTTTCTTTCTATCTTTCATTATGTTATCCTTTGTTTTTATCCCGTCTTCTTTTTTCTATCTGTCCTCATGTTATTCTGTTTTTCCATGTTTCAGTTTCTCATCTATCTCTCCCTTTGCAATTCATTCACTTCACGCTCAGTCTATTGTCTTCTCTACTTGTCTATCTTTGTGTTATTCTTTTTTTCCCCATCTATCATCTTTTATATCCTGCATACTTAGAATCTTGCAATCTGATTGGTCTAAACGACGTCACATGATCAATGATAGATACGTACTATCTCCCTGCGATAGGACTTTTGTACAGTAATTTTTTGCTGCTGCCCCACTTGCCCATTGAATAAGCATAGCAAAGTAGGTTACGCGAAATGTCAATGTCAAATGAGCGCGCATTGACTTTATTACATGTATACTTGTTGTGCTTTGTAAAATATAGCTGAAGCTAAACTGTCTGCAGAATCAGTTCTTTTAATTATGTAGAGTTCACTTTAAATACACCTTATTGCCAGTGTGGGATATAAAACAAATATTAACCTCCTACACTCAGGCAATGGATACAAACTATCATCGCCTCAGTGATCTCAGGGCTACCATTATCCCTCGCCTTGCGGCTCTGGATGATATTAGCCCCAAGATCACCTCGACGATGATAGTTTGTACCATTACCCAGGTAGTCGATTAATATTTGCTTACTATCCTATCTTTACTTTGTTATTCTTTTGCTTTCCCATTCTATCCTCTTCTGTTTCTATCTATCCTTATATTATTTCCTTTGAATAGAATTCTGTCATTTTCCCTTCCTTCCTTTCCTTATTTTATTCCAGTTTCTTCTTTCTATCACCTCCTCTTTTGTGATTCTTTGTTTTTATCATTCTATCACTTTCTCTTTCTATCTTTCATTACTTTCCCACCAAACACACTCACTTCCGGTTGAAGTACGCTTCCTGGCACGGTTGTGCTTTCCCACTCAGTTAGACCGATCTAACATAGACCAGTCAAGCGTAGATCGATCCGTGAAGTGAGTGAGAAAAGGGTCTAGTTAATTTCCACCAACAAAAGTGAAAACCATGACTACTAAAGTTGAAAAATAATAAAATTAAAAATGTGATTTGTTCTAGTCATTTAACCCTTATCTATCAGCCTAACCAGATTCGAACCAAACTGACCTATAACATAGTGATGTTGATTATAATCTTCAACGTCTGATTAATCTTGAAATACATAAATAATAAATTAACTTTTGTATGAAACTTTAGATCAAATACATGCAGAATTCTAAGTATACATCAAAGGCTTAAAATATTTCTCCGATCTGCCCTTATTAGTTTTACTTTTAAACGCAATTTGAATTTGGCCATACTCTGAATAAGGTCAACTTATGTATTATTTTGTCATTTATGATTATATGACAAACCAAAATAACAACAGAGAAAAAATGACTTCAGTATTGATGTTATTCAGGGCAAACAATTCTGCAACTTCTAATACGGGGAGATTCATTTGTTGTATGGCCCCAGTCAAATGTATATATACAGTCGCATCAAATAAGCTTACAATCGTATACAAGGAAGCATTCCCAAGCATGTGGGTAGTGCACATAACATGTTGTTCAGACCATGTTGTTGTTGTTGAGTTCAGCGTTATATGGTGACTAGTCAAATTTGACTATTATCACCTACTATTTTTTCATTGGTATGACTTTAATTTTTTTAAAATTAATTCACCTCTCTCTTTTATCATAATTTTTGTTGATGTCCCTGTATTTTTGTCCGGGTTTTTATTAATATTATTATTATCAGGATATGATGCAAGGTTACCAAATCCTGTCCTTTCTTATTTGGCACCATCCTGACAAACCCACTTGTATGGTCCGAGGATTTCTCTAAAAAAATTGAGGAAATTGTGTCACTCAGGTGTGGAACAGGGTGGCTCCCTTTGGGATACCTTTATCTGATAATCAAGGAAAAGAATTTGGGGGTAAACTGAAAGTAGACCCTTCCCAAAGAATTTGGTTGCACTGTCTAACAGAGAGTTATAAAAAATGATGAAAATGTCATGTATGTCGAGAAATGCTAAACAACAAATATGGACTTGTGATGAAAAATGGTGCAGTTAATCAAAAATGAAACAAAACAAAACATATATAATTAATGAGGCACTTATCGATGAGATGTCCCTACACTATAGACCTTTATGTAGTTTATATAAATTTTAAAATCGATTTTAGGGTTTAGTGAAACACCCCCCAGATACAGTCGGCTGTGGAAGTGATTTAAATCGCTGATGATCAAATAACAAGACAAAGGCGACTGCATTTCCTATATACATGCCTCTGCCCTAAATTCAGTATGGGAAATGGATGGAATTATTTGTGACATATCGCGATAAAAACAAAAAGCCTATCTCTTGTGGTTCTGGACATATTGCAATAGCAAGGCTAAAATCTAATGAGATTGTCTTCCTATGGTGATACATATCATCATCAAGTATATATGATATCTCTAGTGGTTCTTGAAATATTGTGATAACGAGGCGAATACCTGGAATTTTATAAGTTGACCTTTGTAACCTTGACCTTTGACCTAGTTACTCCAAAATCTGATAAGATTAAAATTAATAGTATCTCAAGCGGTTCTTGAGACAATCCCATTAACAAGTGGGACAGACGAACTGACGGACAGCCCCAAAACATAATGGTAATAACCAAAATAATGATGATAATAATAAACGCTTAACTTTCACCAATATAACATTTCTAGGATTGAGAAATACATATATCTGACTTTTAGTACATGCCAAAACATGTTATACAATCCTTAATCCCAAGTCGTAAGGATTATAATGCAAACTCTCTTCTTGCAAATGCAAATGTGACCGACACTAAAAGGCACCAGAGTCCAAAATAAAGTCAAAAATCTTTTCCCTTCTTTTTTAATACTTCCAAATTAATGTAGCTAAAATGAGATTTTGATACTATCCAAAAATGAGTATATTATTGTTACCTGCCCAATATGTGCTTTCTATATATTCTTTTCATTCATAAAGCTCCACTTCTTTACATAATCATGAAACAAGTCAACGCAAAGCGTAGCATCCCCTCACAGGGTACAAATGGCATATATACATCAGAACAAGTTACCTCCATTGGACTATACTATTGTTTTACTAGGCAAGGAAGTTAACCACATTTTCACATATGTAATTAGGTGTTTTTGCATATGTAATGAGCTATGACCTTTCACCTTTGACCTACATACTCCTTACTCAAACTTAGGCAGTGTTTTGATACCATGAACCTTCATATCAAATTTCATTGAAATCCGTCAAACATACTAAAGTAATGGATCCTAAACCAGATTCGCATATTTAACGAGCTATGACCTTTGACCTACATACTCGGAAATTGAACTTAGGCTGTGTTTTGATACCATGTACCTTCATATCAAATTTTATTAAAATTCGTCAAACATTACTCAAGTTATCAAATGGAAACCAGATTCGCATATTTAATGATCTATGACTTTTGACCTTTGACCTACGTACCCCACAATCGACCTTAGCCTGTATTTTGATATCATGTACCTTCATATCAAATTTCATTAAAATCCGTCAATCATTACTAAAGTTATCAATCGGAAACCAAATTCGTTACGGACGCACGGACGGAAGGACGGACGGCAGCGATTCTATATGATCCCCTCCTACTTCGTCAGCGAGAGGGTAATAAAACATTTGTTTAATTGTTTTCTTCAAAACTTCCTAGAATGAAATAACCGCATAAAGCTATCAAATTAAAGAGGGAAATCCACCCTGACATTATAGTGTGGAACGGTATGTTACTGAAACAGTCCCGTAGGATTTTTGTGCCAAATTGATTTTTTTTTTTTTTTTTTGCATTTTTGGATTTATTGGGGTCCAAGCTTTCAGATATTGATGGGGTTCAGATTTTCCAGGAGACACCAAATGTCCCTATTGCGCGTTATATATGCTATTTTGGCGCCCAATATGGACCCCCCCCCCCCCCCCCCAGGAAATGAAGGAGGGGTCTGAAAATTTGAACCCCATCATTTTTGGCCAATTGGGAACCTTTTGAAGCCAAAACAGCAAAAAATAATCAACTTTGGAAAAAATATCCTACGGAATTACATACCATACCGCACTATTAAATTGGTTTAATAAAAGCAGGAAAATAAGAGAAACTGGTGAGTGAAATTTAAGCGAAAAGCGATTTAAAATAAGAAAGTTATTAATTTTTGAAGGTGCGATCAATATAAGACAAATTGGCAAATCTGTGACGTATCTTACAAGGTCCCCTCCCTTTGACCCTATAATAAAATACATAATAAAATTTATAATTTCCCTTAAGAAAATTTTCAAAAATACATTCATCCTAAATGTAATTAATAATTATAACAAAAAATTTGTTATGCAACCCCTGTATGAAACAAATCTATTCAGTCATCAATAACTAAAAAGACAAATTTTTATGACATTTTCTGTATACAGAGCAAATCCGAGAGGAGCTCACAAGATACATCACAGTGTTGCAAATATGTGTTCCACTGATGACAACATAAACAATTCATCACTTTTGTATCTTTAATCGGATATTGCTCAAATTTTCACTAGTATATTTCTCTTATTGTTTTGCTTTTATTAAAAGTTTAAAACCAAATTAATATCAGGGTGGACTTCCCCTTGAAGTACGTTGTGATCGTCCACAGTTTCCATGGTTAGTATTCACACTTAAAGGCTATTTTTTACATTGCTGCGGCCTTAGTGAAAAGACCATTGATAAATTCTTCTGTCTAAAGAACCAGCATATATGAGACATTTAAAGGAATTAAAGAAAAGTAAAATGTAGATTAGGAAAGGGAAAGGTGATAATGGAATGAAATTAAATTGAACAATCACACATACATCAAAATTGTGGATGAACCGCTCACCTTTGATTCTTTTCCTTTCCTTGCAAGTGTTTCAAAAAAACAATGATGGAATGAACTTTCTAGAGAAGCTTTCTTCAAGGATGGCATTGAGCATATTATCTCTGCCACATCAAGTGACATAGTAGGTCCACAATCTCTCTCAATATAGAAGTCTTCCTGTATAAAATGACAAAGTGATAACTGATGGGATGCAAAATATAAATATTCACTTGGATGTTAAGCGTACAAGTGTAACTAACATGAGCGCTTGCCCTAGGTGTGCTGCTAGAACTACAGAGAGTAAGAGGGAAAAGGTAATATAAGAATATATATAAAAAATAAGGGTACAAGCTGAAGAACTATTGCCATGATTCAGTCTTACCGAGGGAGAGTTCATTTCATTTTTTTTCAAATCCTTGAGGATATTTACAAGATAGCTGAAACAAAAAAAGCAAGAATATGATGGCAAGTAGTATGGAAATTTTGAGATGGGCAGGAGAAAACAAAAACAAAAATGGGAAGGAGATGTTCCACCACAATAAATTTCTAAATGGTATACGATTGTAATAAGAAAAAATGTAATTGTTTTAAAAAGCAACTAGTGGTTGGGAGATTTACAAATCGTTATGCACAGTATTCCAAAATTTAAATGATCTCAAAAGAGGCAAGTAAAACTTATCGGATTGTCGAGTAGGGTATCTATGAACAGCATGATTTTTTAAGAAACATATCATTAAACACAAAATATATATATATCTATTTACAACCCCCCCCCCCCCCCCCCCACCATCCCTAGAATCTGCTAGTTTGTATTATTACCGGTATGTATCCATTACGGTAGTCATGCTATCGAGCTTTGCTTACTTTGTCAACCCTCCTGTTTAATGTTTTTGACTAGTTACAGCCGACCTTACCATATTTTACATATACTCTGTTGTCATGTATAAAATTGTCAATGATTTGTTTGTTATATATTTGTAAAACTGCAAAAGAAAAAGAAAATCAAAAGAAATAATTAAATCAAATCAAATCAAGTCAACTAAACTTACCACATGTGGTCCAATGAAAGCATAACCAGCTACAGTGTGTGCTTTCATGTCTCTGGATATGATCAGCTCTTTTGTCTTTGGTAATACTCTGCTGATGTCCTTCACCAAGGCTGATGCATCTTGGTCCTGACTCTCAAAAGCTAAATCAACAATGAAATCTAACTTTTTACCTATATTTTCTATGTCAATTAAATTCTCTTGTCCCTGAAGTATAGAAATCAGTACATGGGTTGCAATACTTTTGTTTTGTGACACAGTGAAGTACAGGAGATACCTAAACTCCTCGTTCCTTGGCAGCACTACTTGCTCAATCAGCCTGTTGAATTCATTACAATCTGATTCATACAGGGAAGCCAGATGGACTCCAGCCATGTACTCCTGAAACAGTTTGTGAGGGAAGAAGACTGGCAATTGCACATGAGAATTCCTCTCATGTATGTCCATGTTAATGGTGATTCTCTCCTCCTGAGACAAAATCCCAACACGACAGGCAGTGTCCTTGGATTCTGGGCACATTTGGAAATCATCTTCACCAAAAATCAAGGTATTTTTTAGCAGACCATTGAGGGCCTGTTTGGCAATTGGTCCAAGGAGCTCGTCAATTTTTTTCAAGTAGGCAAGAAGTGAGGGGCTGCCTACTTTCTTCACCATTTTCTGAGCATAATGTTCTTTTAGAAAAGCAATCATTTCTTTGAATATCTGAGAAAAAGTATTCAGTGATTTCAATTCCTTTAGTTTTTGCTCATCAATTTCTTTCCACATAAGACACAACATGGCTACATATATAGGATAGGGGGCCATGTTTTCAGATATGACATCATTCTCACTGAAGAACTGGATAAGCTGATTTGCTTTAGCATCATTCTTTGGAAAGTATTTGTGAATGTAAACTGACAAATTCTCTTTGTTGAAACCCATAACATGAATGAATGTGTACAGCTTCATTAGATCCCCATGTGATCTAATCTCTACTGCTCTCCATGGGCGAGAGGTCACCACGACCGGACAAGAGGCAAGTTGATCTGAACAAAGAATATCTACTAGTTCAATATCACCGGCCTCAGATGAGCTTCCACATGCCTCTGAGGCGTGGACACTTGGCTGTGATGGCTGAAGTTGCATTTGACCAGTAGGCTGTGATTCACAAGATTTTGTCTTCATGATTTTGCCCCTGACTTCGTCTAGCCCATCTAATGCGATGAATACCTTGTGGGGATTGGACCGGATATACTCAGTAATCTGAGAAATCGTTGCTGGATTGTTTTTGTCCAGATAAGACTTTGCAATCTCGCCTATAGTGTGTCGCTTAAAATCACGTAGAGGAACAATCAAGACCCACACAAAGCGACTGAAATGCCTCCCTCCTATCCAGTCCCATGCAATCTTAGCACAAAATGTAGTTTTTCCAGCACCTGCCTCTCCCTGAACCATGATCCGCTTTGGGAACTCTTCATTGACTTTGAGATCAAGGATATCATTGTAATCTAGCATTCGCTTTTCTGTCCCATGTTCTTCTTGTAAGAAGAGATTAGTATACATGTCGTCAAACTGCACAGTGGAAGCAGGATTGAGAGGATCAGCTCTGATCTTACAGAGAGTTGACCTGTACTTGAACTTGAAATCATTTGCACACCGCTCAACCAGTTCAGGAGAAAGTGGTATGGTCCGAGATTCAGCTGAAGGAGGTTTGGTCTGTGATTCAAGCAGTCTTGATGGCCCTCCTAAAAATATATAGATAATCCAGATTCACATCATCACATGATTACACATAAACATATTTTGATACATCTGAAAGGATTGTAAAGGCCAGAGGCAAATAGTGTAACATACAACTAGGTGCACTTACTCAGGCCTACACGTTTGTTTGAAATTATATGAATTTATTCAATTTAAAGGGAATTTATTCAATTTAAAGGGCATTTAAAATCTGGGTAATTTGTGTTTCTACATGTACTTGTATATATATATATATATATATATATATATATATATATATATATAATATATATATATATATATATATAATAATTTATTGTCCTTTGCAGGAAATTGGATTTCCACTGGTTACAGAGTGTTACAATACAAACATATAAATGAAATATTACAGGACAGTGATAAACATACAATGAATGAGATAATATATGAGTAAGCCACGGTATATATGGTGGTTAAAGAGGTAATATCAGATTCCATTTTACAAAATATGAAGCTAAAATATTTAATATCAATGGTTGTTCTATATTAAATCTTTAAATGATAATAAATACATAAATTATTATTATTGTAGGTGATTATTACTGGAATTATTTTTCCTAGGACATTTCAGCAATGCAGAGTTCCTCTGACAATCACACATCTTAATTTGAAGGAAAAAAAACACGACAAATATGACTGCATCTCCAGTATGCCTCTGCCTAAATTCAGTTCAGATCAGGGCTTGAATCAATCTCTAAATATTACGAGAACAAAAAGCCTATATATATATATATATATATATATATATATATAAATACATTTTGATTAATCTTTACAAACTTTGACCTTTGACCTGACAATCCAGCATATAATTGCTTGTCTCCCTATGGTGATGCATACCATATGTAGTCTTTTTCTTTAATTTCCAGCTAAAATAGTTTAAAGTAGTTATTGATATGGTGATAATCATTTCATTTTGCTTACCTTTGACCTTCTTAACCCAAAATATAAACAGCTTGTCTCAATATGGTGATGCATATTCTAACATGAAATTTGAAATTCATGGCTCAAACCGTTCGCGAGACATTGCAATAATGGGGCTAAAACATCCCCCCCCCCCCCCCAAAAAAAAAAAAAAAAAAATAAATAAATAAATAAATAAATAAAAAAAAAAAAAAAAAAAAAAATATATACATATTTTAATTGGGCCCTCATGGCCCTTCGCCTTTGATCTAATCACTTTAACTCACTTTGATAACACAAAGTTTGAAGTTCATACCTCAAGTGGTTCTTGACATATCATGAGGCTAAAACCTGTAATTTCAAAAAATTACCTCTTTGACCGACTAACACCCAAATCTAATAAAGATTATATTCCTATGGTGAAACATACTACCAACAAGTTTATAGTTCAGACCTCAAGTGGTTCTTCAGATATCACAATAGCAAAAAAGCAGGACGGATGGATAGACAACCCCAAAACATATTTTCTCTGGCACCACCTTCGGTTGGCGGATGCATAATACACTTACAAAAGAATATAATTTGTTTGTAAAACATGTGCACATAAAGAAAGCTGGCATACATTGAATTCTGCTGTCACTAGGAGTACTTACATGTATACTATTTTGGTGTCCAAAAATTATCTAGGATTAACAAAGTTAAATTAGTAAAATTTGATACTTCTGTAAATTGTGACAAATGCATAGAACACAGAGCACACACTACCTCTATGGTAACAAAGTTACCTCAGTTTTATGCACAGTTTTCTATGTCTTCTGGTGTAGCAAGAATTAGTATCTGTTTACCTGCGGTTTGAGGTTCATTGAGTAATCTGTCTGATAGGCTACCCAAGTCAATCTCTCGAAGTGTGTCTGCCAAAAGCTGTCGTCTGTTTGAGTGTGAAGGTTGGTGCATGACATTCCATTTCATGAATACATCCAGTAACGCATTGGTATAGTTATTGGACGTCTGAATCAGGATTGCCTGTAGCTGAGCATAGGGGATTCCCAGAGATATCCCTACTTTGAAGTAGTAAGGTGGAGCGATATCCTGGGCCAGCTTCATGAACTCCATTTCACTGACAGTACTGTAAAATGAATAAGAAATAAATTAGGAATGATAGGATATTAGGTAGAGAGCATCCTATTGGTTGAGAAGCTATCACATGACTTTTTCCAATTTGTATTATTTGTTCGAGCATGCAATATAACAGCCTGGGGATATCAGTATACATTGCCATTGATATTAACATTTGAAACAAACTACCCCAAGTTGTAGCTGATGTCGGTAATGTTCTAGCAAGGGTAATCACTGTTTATTTTTAAACAGAGTCTGGCAGTAAATACAATAACGATGGTGATAATAATGATGGTTATAGTAATCATTATAATATAAGAAAAGGATCACTACTACTTCTAATAATAATGTTTAAGGTATTATTATTACTAGAATTGATGATGATTATGATGATTATTATTATCATTATCATCATTATCATCATCATCGTCAACATAATTAGTATTTGTATCAAGCATAGTCTATGTAATCGGCTTACTTACATGTACATGGGTCATCGCGTCGGGCTGGGTGGTGGAGTTACCCGACCTTTTGTGAAAACATGCCCCCTTTATACACAAAATGTCAGAGGCTAATGTTTGTGAAAAAAAACCCTCTTATAAAATGGTCTGGTCCAATTTACATGACACTTTGTCAAAACCCTACAGCAAATCTACGACAGATTGCATCCTGCACCTGCATCTTTAAATTATCTTTTGACCAGGGAAAAAAAAAATTGGGGGGGGGGCTATTTTTCAAGCTTGCTTGCATGAAAATAACACTCTTTATTTTGTTTTGCATTGAACTCTATGCAAATTTTGGGGGGCTCATTTATGACTTTCGGGGGCTCTTTTTGGCATTTTGGGGGCTACTCCGCCCCGAGCTCCCGTGTATTTTTTCAGTGTTTTGTTTCACGAAAGGTCGAGTAACGCAACCACTGACCGGACGCAATGACCCGATGATTCAAAGTTAGCCAGTATATGCATACCTTTCTGCAGTGTTAGGACCTGGATTGGTTTCAACGTCACCAGATCTCATCAAGAGGATCAGGAGCAGATAGAGAAGACAGAATCCATCCATGGTGTAAGATGTCCTTCTCATTCGACAGAAGAGTAGTTCTCTGGAAGATGGTTATGACATAGGCAACAATATCTGAAAATAATATCCAGAAATATCTACATTATGTACATAAAACAGATGGAATAACGTTTCAATTCACTATATCGAATGACATGCTTATAATAGGTTATGGACAGATAACAATGATTTTTTTTTTTGTAGTCGTCAATCTAACGTGCCGGGATTGATTTCTTTCACCAGGCAACATGAGCATCATCATCTTATTATTATTATTATTTTTGAATTCCTCTGCTTGGCGAAGAGCTGTGCTTGAGCACAGGGTATCAGCTAACAGTAGCACTGTAGGGGAAAGTCTTAAGAAAAGAAACACGAGAAGAATAAAATATGGGAATAAAGCATAAAGAGATATTGTGATATAAGTGCAGATTGGCTCGGCTTATGTCAGAATCGGGGATAACAGTCGTCTTCCCTAGAACGATGGGATCTGTGAGTGCAGCAGACATCAAATCAGGTGTCAGAGGGAGAAGCCTCTTCTGGATGGTTAGTGGGAAGGCTGATAATAAACGGGGACCTCGCGGTGAAGTAGAGAGGGCATTCCTTCATCATGTGCGAGACTGTGTCATGTGTCTCTTGCGAGAATCCACATAAATAACCTGGGTTCTTAACAACCTAATACTCTTTTCACACTGGTTTTGCTTAACCCTGTACTTTGCTTAGCCCCGTACTATCCTTAACCCCGGACTATTTTTTGGCTTTTCACACACGCTGTTTTTAGTCCCGTACTAGGGGCTATTCCGGAATAAGAAAAGTCACGCTGTTCTCACTGCAATTCGTTAACCCTGGATATCGTGAATGTTATGATTGGACATACTTCGCATCTGGCCAGCTGCGATACGCTCCATTGCGTAGTACCGGACTATTTTTCGTTTCTGTTCTCATTCATTTGATTGGCACCGCAATTGCGGGGTTAGCAGGAGTTAGCACCACAATTGCGGAGTTAGCCCTGCTATTTTGCAGGGTTAGTTAACCCCGTACTATAGGTGGGGTTAGCCAACTTTAGTCCAATTTGGTAAAAGCCTGTCTGAACAGGAAGTGGAATAGGCTTAACACTGTACTATAGGTGGGGCTAAGACCCCCCCCCCCCCTTAACCCCACCTATAGTAAGGGGGTTAAGCAAAATATTGCCAGTGTGAAAACAGTATTAGTGGTTTAAAAAAGGCGGTTGGTTGTTGGGTATAGACGCCACAAAGAAGTTGCAATTTGAGAGTGATGGCATATCGTCGGAGCCTTGGAGGGGCGAGAAGGCAATCGAAGCAATTGGAGCGAGGACTTGAGCTGAGCAGATTCCGTAGTTTCATTGTTTGCCCATACATACATGTACATGTATATACAAACAGTTGCCTCAACCAATTTATTCCAAACGGCATAGGCATGCAGGCCTGATAACGGCTGGCGGAGCTAAAGCTAGGATAATAACTTCTAAAGCTCTTTACAGTGCTCAGGGACGTTATATCATAATGTGTTATGAGCTATACAAGAACGGATTATTATTAAGGAATAACACAAAGATGTACATAGCAATGTAAGCATGCTTGAGGTGTTGCCATACCTTATTCTGTATAAATTTTTACAAAGGGGTGAAAAAACGATCTTTACGTTAATTAAGGCATTGTTTAACAATGTTAAATCTGAGGTGCAAAGCCCTACATGTTATCAGTGTCTGTGACAGGGTGTAATATTGAAGTCCTAAAAAAATTGCTCTTCAAGAAGTGCCTCAAACTAGTAAAAATCTTTGAGTGACCAGTTTTACCATACTGGTACTTGTTTTCCACAATAGACTGTAGTGTTATAAATACAGCAAAAATTTGATTTTGATTTCCAATCATAAATATCTTGATAATCAGACAGACGCAGCACCAAACATACAACCATTCGGTACAAGGGTCTGAAAATCAGACTAGTATTATAAATGGCTTGCAACCCCGGCCCAATTAAAGACATTTTCAAGCCCTTTCGTTTTGAGGGAAGTTCTATAAATTGGTATTATCTTTCAAATGCTGTTGGAATATAACTTTTTCATTTTTTGGTCTGCAAATGGGACATAGATCTAACCCAGTACCCGTATCTTTAAGGGCTAAGCCTACATGTAGGTGATAATTATTGATACTTATGATATTCAGACGCGTAGCCAGGGGGGGGGGTGTTGTTGTTTTTTGCTTTTTGCTCAAGGGGGGGGTGGCTGGGGTGTGTGCTGATAAAAATTAAAAAAATCAATACTCCTTAACCCCCCCCCCCCCCTCACTACTGAGCGAAATATGGGTCGACGCAATTTTCAAATCTCTGGGGCCCCAAAAAAAATTATAAGTGCTCACCACCCCCAGAGCTACCAAGTGTCACGCATTTCAAGGGTCTGAAAACGCTCTCACGCATGACGCGTGCGCTAGATTTTGAAAAAAAATGCTATACCTTATATGTATGGGGAATTATTAATATGGACCGCACGCATGTGCGTGCGTTGGATGGCGTTCCATACTTGATTAGCACGTACATGCGTGCGTCCTATATAAGCAGGTTATCCGCACACCGTCGAAGCAGAATTACCAGTAACCAGATAACAGAAGTATAGACTACGCATCGGAGTGCACTACAAGCAACGGAGATCATCACAGCAACCAGCAAAGGACAGCATCGACGGATTCTGACATATAGTGACGACTCTGGTGAGTAGATTTTACTTTAGTGGCGCTGCGACACTTCGTTCCTGCGCTGTTTAATTGACGAATTATCGTTGATATTTGTATTATTGAGTGTGTGACTTGATTCTTGTATTGTGTACGTTAGTTTGTGGTTGACATGTGCGTGCCGTATTTTGGCTTGTACATGTGTACGGCGTAATCACGGACAAGTTCGTGGATCCGCCGAGCTAGTATATAACAGGTTAGTATTATTGCTTGTTATTTTTGCTTTTGATTGATTGGAGGTTATATTTTTAGGTTTTTTTCCGTGGAGTGGTGGTTTGAAGGCAGTTTTCTTCGCGATTTTTTAATTTTGGGTGTGGCAGGGGACGCTACGTCGGCACGCCCTAGACGTTGTTATTGCATTCTTTCTTTTGTGTACTGCGCCCAGGCTCGCACCCTATGGTAGCTTATTGTTATACTGGGGTGGAGTTTTTTCGGGTGCGTACCTGAAGGTTGTTTGAGGCTGGGTTTATCCCTTCATTTACCTTGGCTTTGGCGTATTATCTTTGATATTTTTGATTGTTTGGGAGTGAAAGTATTTGCTTGGTGTGATTTAGGGTTCATTCACCTCTTGTTGGAATTGTATTTTCCACCCAATTTCGGAGTGCCGATTTTTTGTGAGTGGGGAGGGAGAGTGAACCACAGTGGTTTGTTATTGCATTGCTGCTGGAATTAAATCATCGCTAATTTAATTAATCATCGCTAATTTAATTAATCATTTTTTGAATTAGAGTTGCCCTCTTACAATTAATCAGTTTGGAAGCAGAGTTGCCCTCTTACAATTTTAAGTAACGGGCTTCTCGCTCCGAATGATTTATTGGGTTCAATGATTATCGGCAAGGGCATATAATTAAATATACTGTTAGGGTTTATATTTTATAAATTGTAGTTTAAGTTACTGTAGTGAATACAAATATATATTTAAAAATACAAGTTTATTAAGTTGTTGAATTGGGTCTGAATGTTAAAGCAGTGACATAGTGACCTAATCAACGGCTGTGAATATTGTGTTTGAATATATTGTATTTAAATTTATTGATAGGAAGTTGATTAATTTATTAATCGTAGGGTAAGTTACTCCGCCAAAGATATATTGCGGGGACATACAAATATCTTTAAAGAATACAAATTCATTTAAGCGGTTGAATTTAGTCTGAGTGTCCACAGCCAGGGACATAGGGACTTTATCAGCGGCCTTGAATATTGTGTTTGAATATTTGGGTTTGAGTTTGAATTATTTGAGGACAAGTCTCCTTCTTTGAATTAAATTCTGTACTTGAATGTTTGAATGTTTGAATATTTGAGTGTGAATTTGGATTGAAATTATTTGGGTTTGTTTATCAGGAAAAGTCTCCGTTTGTAAATTAACATTCTGTATAACAGAATAGTAAAGAGTTGTTTGGTTGATTGAGCAATTCTTGTGAAATATTGTAATACTAGGTTAGTAAAGAATTGCTTGTTTGATTGAGCAATTCTTGCGCAGTATTGTAATACTAAGTTAGTAAAGAATTGTTTGTTTGATTGAGCAATTCTTGCGCAATATTGTAATACTAAGTAGTAAAGGATTGTTCGCTTGATTGAGCAATTCTTGCGCAATATTTGTATACTAAGTTAGTAAAGAATTGTTTGCTTGATTGAACAATTTTTGTGTAACATTTTAATACTAAGTTAGTAAAGAATTGTTCGCCTGATTGAACAATTCTAGCGCAATATTGTAGTACTTAGTCAGTTTTTTAAGGTTGGTACGTAAGTTAGTTGTATTGTATCATGCCGAAGATACAAATTAATTTTTGTAAGGTAGAAGAGCTGTTGCAGGTTCCCGGCATCGGCAGGACTTTAGCCGACCGGATTCTGGCTCTTCGGGAGGCGAGTGACATCACCGCAGAGTCGCTTGTAGAGATTCCTCATATAAGGAACCCCTCTGAGATTATCGAGCACTTCGATTTTGCGCCTTTTACGGAGAGATTGAGCGTTAGTGGTGAGCGGTCTCCTTCTAGGGATACTCCCACACCCGAAGCCAGTCGGCCACCTTCTCCGTATCCGTTTGATGCGTATCCTAAGGATGCGTTACCAGCTCACATTGTGAACCCGACGGAAGGGGAGGGAAGCCAGTCAAAGGTGACTGAGGACAACCCAAGGGAGAAGGCGAAAGCTATTGACCGCGAGACCTCTCCACAACATAAGGCTGTTAGTTTCGATTCGCCCAAGAAGTATAAGTCTTCGACTCGGGAGAGGGTTTCTCCGGTTTCTTCACCGGATTGCAAGGATCGCAAGGACTCTCGGAGAGATTATGATGACGAGGGTCTTTATTCAGATTCTCCCCCTCGAAGGTCG